ATATATATATATATATATATATATATATATATATATATATATATATATATATATATATATATATATATATATATATATATATATATATACGTACATACCCTTTGATGTATCTGTGTGTCTCTGTCAAGTGGTGTGTCAGGAAAATATGTGAGATCAACTTGAGTATCAATGGCACATGATGGTACATCTCCATGGTGAGACAACACTTTACATCTTTAGAAATACAGAAACAAAATTCCTGCTTAAATAACGTATGAAATACCAGCTGACTGCAATTATTTGTCAAGACTAACTTAAAACCCCAATGATTCGCTTGTCAGGGAGGGTCTTATATATGGAGAAATGGAGTGGTCTGAGCATTAGTGAGATGGTGGGTCTGGAACCCCCTCAACTTTGATCCCCTGGAGGAGGACAGATTTCCAACTGCGTTTTCACACTCAATATAGTTAACAGGCTAGTACAGGATGTTATGAGTACAAATACCACAGGTATCCTGGACAGTTCATACAACTTTTCATTGAACAGTCGGAGCAGTGTCGGCTGAATGCCACATGCTTGGTGTATATAGTATTTATTGGAGATTGAGCTTGAATTGTATTACTCAGTTAAGATTACCTCTCCTCCGCTTTAATCTGATACTCCTAAATCAGCTTACACTATACTAGGAGATACTTATATGTATATGTATATACATTAACAAAATAACCATGAACTATACATATATATGAAAAACTTTAAAAGGTAATACTGTACAATAAAAATGTCCTGCCAAAATTATATCGATGCTCTTAATGCAGTTAATGCAGCACTTTCAAGAGCGTCGATACTCGCAGGCAGTTCGATGACAGGAAGATTGTTCCAGGTTATAATAGTTCGTGGGAAAAATGAAAATTTGAAAATATCATTGTTACAAGAAACTTGCTGAAAGGGATGACGATTTGGAAGTTGAGATTTTCTTTTTAGAGGGTACACTTCAGGGGGGAAGTTTAAATCAACGCAGCCTTGGTGGATCTTGTAGAACATACACGACTGGTTATTAAGCAGTCTACGCCGTTCAAGTGTGTCCCATCCTAAACTGTTGATCATTGGGGAAACATAGCTGTATCTGGAAAAGTCGTTGCTAAATTAGCAAATCGTGCGGCGCGATGTTGAATAATTTCAATCTTCTCAGAATTCCATTTAGTATGAGGGTTCCAAACGCAACTAGCGTATTCAAGCTTAGAGCGGACTATAGACTGAGATTGGCTCTAGCTTTAACTGTAGGAGAGCAGCTTCCTAAGATGCGTTTAAGTAGGCCAAGAGTGGAATTGGCTTTTTTACAAATATTGTCACAGTGTTCATTCCAGCGCAAGGTACTAGTAATGGTGACCCCTAAATATTTTGTAGAACTTTCTCTACAGATAATTTGACCATTCAAGCAGTATTTGTACATGTGAGAGATTCTCTTAGAGGTTATTCCTAGATGGTAACATTTGGACACATTGAATTTAAGCTGCCAGCAATCGGCCCAAGATGAGAGACAGTCTAGATCATTTTGTAGAATTTGATAATCCTGGTGGTTGTCAATTACTCTTAGTCTATATAGAACACAGTCATCAGCGAAGAGACGTAGACTTGATTGAATATTGTTGGAAATATCATTTTATGTATAGCAGAAATAACACTGGACCTAGAATGGATCCCTGAGGTACTCCGGAGATAACAGATTTGGAGGGGGAGGAGGTTCCGTTAATTGAGACGATCTGGGAACGATTTGTAATGAATGCTTTTATCCACGTTCGTGTATTCCCTCTGATTCCATAGTAGTTGAGCTTAGTCAAGAGTCGCTCGTGCGGTACGGAGTCAAATGCTTTCTTAAAATCTAAGATAATCACATCAGTTTGATTCCTCAAGTTGATAGATTTCCCCCAGGTGATCCAGTTTTCCTCAACCGACCTATTTTCGGGGTTAGACGAGAAGAACAATGACGACAAATTCAGCCTGTAATCATAGAAACCATTAAAGTCTGCCTTTTTGTTGTTATAGATTTTACGAGGAGGTTTAACTACTCGTGATGATGTTTGTGATGTTACTCTGAGTGTATATCCACACCGGGCAAGCTTGAGAAATATGCCTGGCCACGGTGGGAATCGAACCTACGACCTTTGGAATACTAGCCCAATGCTCTGCCAACTGAGCTACGCGGTCAGGTCGGTTCGAGTAAGTGATATTTCGGAACAGAATCTAGTTCCTTCGATACCAATGTAATCTAGTAATATGATTTTTTCTGTGTTGGTGTTGTGTACTCAGGTGAATATGATGTTTGTGATGTTACTCTGAGTGTATATCCACACCAGACAAGCTTGAAAAATATGCCCAGCCACGGTGGGAATCGAACCTACGACGTTTGGAATACCAGCCCAATGCTCTGCCAACTGAGCTACGCGGTCAGGTCGGTGCGAGTAAGTGATATTTCGGAACAGAATCTAGTCTAGTAATATGATTTTTTCTGTGTTGGTGACAATGTTTGTGATGTTACTCTGAGTGTATATCCACACCGGGCGAGCTTGAAAAATATGCCCGGCCACGGTGGGAATCGAACCTACGACTTTTGGAATACTAGCTCTACTATACTCGTGAATCGTGATGGTTTCAAATTTACTTCGAATACAACAGCAAGATGGTCGCTAATGCCCGAGACAGTGGTAGTGTTTAGGACAGAGTTTGGATATGTACAGTAGATAACAATAAATCCAGAATTTTGAAGTCTGTGACGCAGGCTAGTCTAGTAGTAGATTTGACGTGTTGAGATAGCGAGAAATCATGAGGTGATTATATAACTCTGAGATCAGGAGGAAAACGTCTGACATTATTTGTATTGCCCTGCAGACAGTAGTTGTAAACTAATATTAATAATAATGGTACATGGACTCATAATTGTACCCCTCTTTTTTGTTTATGAAAAAAAAAATAGAAGTACAATAGAAGTACAGTACAGTACAATACAGTGCAGCACAGCACAGCAATTTATGGAATTCTCGCCAACATGGCTTTTCGGAGCTGCAATTAACATTTACAAAAAGTTATAAGTTATACTTACATGAAATTCTAACTAATTAATTACTAATATGGCTGAATGCTACCAGGGCCGTCGGTGGTGTAACACGCCCTGAAAACATCTTGTTGGCAAAATAACAGATTTGTCGGCAAATTGTTTTTGTACGCAGCAAAAATATTTGAGATAGATTATTATTAATGCAAGTCTGTGTGTCATGCAAGCTAGTTGTACAAGTCATGCTAATAGTTTTGCGAGTCTTTCACTGTTTCAGCTCTCTCAATAAAATGTTTTCTACTCTATGTTAGTTTATAAATGGGCAAATGACATCTCTTTGATTCACTGCTGAACCCATTTATCCTTCTCTTCCCTTACAAGTGGAAAAATCAACAACCATTTGAGATATTAACCCATTAAGAGTTGATTAAGCGCCAGCACTCTCCTCTTGACGAGTAAAATCGTCTGGCGTTAGACAGAGTAAAATAATCTGGCGTTAGACAGAGTAAAATAATAAAGTAAGGCACAATGCGACTCAATAGGTTAGACACGTGCGTAGATAGGCCAGTTAACCCATTAACCCTTTAAGTAGCAATGTGCCCAGATGCACCCCACTTTATTATATTACTTTGTCTAATGCCAGACAATTTTATTTGTCAGGCTGGGAGAGTGCTGCCACTAAATGAGACTAAGTGCCAGCGCTCTCCCCTTGACGAGTAAAATTGTCTGGCGTTAGACAGAGTAAAATAATAGGGCCATTTATATGTGACAAAATAAGTCGCGATTTACATAAGACGCGACTTAAATAAGTGGAGTTATCGCATAAATGGTTCTCTACGGCTTTGGTCTTATTTATTTGCTATAGCTATAATGTTGTTTTGGTTGTTCTTGTTTTAATATGCAAGGCATTAAATTTTACGTTGTTTCAAGTTTCTGGCATGTGTATATAGTTAGACTTTTTGTCCAAAATTTCTTATTTAAGACGCAACTTAAATAAGAACAGCTAAAAGACCTGTTCTTATGTAAGACGCGTCTTATCCAAGACGCATCCTACATAAGAATTTTGTACCTTTTATACGACAAACTCGCGTCTTACTTAAGTCGCGTCTTATGTAAGTCGCGTCTTATTTTGTTCCGTATAAATGGCCCTAATATGGCGTTAGACAGAGTAAAATAATATGGCGTTAGACAGAGTAAAATAATAAAGGGTGCATCAGGGCGCAATATTGCGACTCAATGGCCAGGTTAACTTCAAATTTTGGATAAAGTAATTTCTAACTAATGTTTACTAGTAGTGAAAAAATGAGCCAGATCGCAAGGGGTGGGCTACATACAACCCTCTGATGAATTGACATTGAATAACTCAACACCCGGCTGTTACTTCAATGTCTGTATCAGAGAAATCTGACTACATACTTCCTATTCCTCTGTAATACAGTACCATAGGTACAATACTTGTGGGAAACAAAAAGGATGGCTAGAGCTAAGCCAATTAATTAATCAGAAAATAATTGGCAAAGCCAATTAATCAGCCATTCTTTTAACTGGTAATCAGCTGATTATTGAGGGTCTCCCAAGGGTAGTCATTGTTCCTTTGTTAACTTGAAAAGTTTTCCTTTTCCTTTTAATTTCCCTGTAAGCTAATTTAACCTAATGCACGATCATCTACTGTATATGGGACTGCTGACCAGCAACATAATGATAATCGGCAGATGCGAATGAATCGGCTGATTATTTCACACACTACGCCACAGAGGCTTCTAGCATCCCTTACATCAATTCTGTGCATTTCTGTCAAGGTATAATGCAGGGTATAGACCACAAGCAGTCCCTCAGGAGAAAGGACTGCTGACAACACATCAAGACAACAAAATATGTGTTGCCCACACAATGCAAAATTCCCATTGGTCGAAATCGATGTGCCTGTCAATCAAATCTGATATGCAAAATGCTATAAATAATTTCCAGACTGATGTTGCTTTTATAAATAAACATGACAGGCTTAAATTATCGGTTCCTATTGGATATATTTAATTGGATATATGTAATGTTTATGCAAAGGCGGACCCAACTTGACAAGAGCGAAAAGTGGGCATATTTCATTTCTTGATGAGTTGTCGGCAGTCCCTCCTTTCCCCTCATATGCCTGGGGAAAAACCCGCAGGAAAGGATGGCCCGCTCGCAGTCTAAGCAGGGTAAGGAGGGTAAAATATTTGTGAAGAGGGGATAAATAGGGATGAAAGGGGAATGGAGGAGGATGAAACTCCCCATGCACCACCCTATATGTATGCCAGCCTAATCTTACCAGAAGAAGGGAAATTGCTAGATAGTATACTTCAAAATAAGGTTTCCATTTTTATATCAATTTTTTAAATAAGTTAGGGTTAGGGTTAGGTTAGGGGTTAGGGATAAGGTTAGTATTAGGGTTAGGGTTTAGTTTTGCGTTAGGATGGTTTTTTCTACGTTATAAAAACGGAAACCTTATTTTGAAGTATACTATCTAGCAATTACCCCCGGAGAAGGCTCTGGGGAGGAAAGTGGGCTACACCACTGCCTACAGTCTATGGTAACATGGCCCACTTACTGTTCGGTATTCAAACAATCTGTATTCAAAGGTGCTGTCAATATACTTGGAATGTAACCTGTCTTGCCATCATTGGAGTTCACATAAAGCCACCAGTCAACATCACCAATAACTTTGAATGTCTCTCCCTTCAAGAAACTCAAATGTGTATCAAGATGTGGCGCCTGTATTGCCCACGTGTCACCCACGTTGATGTCACTTTGTCCAGGAACATAGTCATATAGAGCAACTACGTGCGTTGGATGACTTGAAATGCTTGCAGTTTCTTTCTTTGAATATTTCTTCCTTGGCATTTTCGACAATGAAGGGTCATAGGAAATCACGATACGAAAACACTTCCAAAATCAATTAACCTTTTCGTAGATGAAACTGTAATACTGTTCGTCGTGGACATCCAAATTTTAATTTCACTTTAAATTTTACTTTAAAAGTAAATTTCAGGTTTTTACCTGAAATATTATTATTCTGTTGGAGCTAACATTTTGAACACACGACTAGAAAACATAATTCAAACCTTACAGCCCATCGACAAAAGTTATATTAATTAAAAAAACAAGCACATTTCTGCAATTCAGCACAGAATCCCTGGCACAGAATTATGACTTTATTTTACGAAGATTGAGGAAAATGGAAGATTAGATTCATTAGAAGCAAATCTAGCCTGCAAAGCAGGCGCTCGCGAGCTAGCCTTTGTAAGGAGCGGAAGGGGTGGGCCACTGGGCGGACGCGGACCATTATATTTGACTTTTGTGAGAGGGAGATCCAGGCGAACAAGACAGATATTTTTTTCCTGCAAAAGTGCGGCGCAAGATATTTTTCCCAATATATTTTTTTGTCTCTCATAATAACGGCTTACATGCAGTAACTTTTAAGTTACCTTAAAAGTAACTTAAGGCTTCCATACCGCTATCGTCGACGTCAGAGACGTAGCCGGGTTTTTCAGTCAGATGAGGCCGAGAAGAGGGGCCAAGGAATTTTCACTGTGCTTTATTTTATATGGCTATGTCTTAATGTTGCCCACACTAAAGCGTGCAGGTTTACTTACAAAAAAATGTATAACTGCACAGGGGCGTAGGAACTGTAGGGGCCGCGGCCCCCCCAAAAATTTATAAGGGGGGCCGAGATAGCTTTCGGCCCCCCCAAAGATCATTGAATTTACTCAATTTACAATAAATGCAGTGAAATTCGAAACTGAAATGGCTAAATAGGGCTCTGAAATGGCCATTTCCAAGGATCTAGAGCCTCTAATTTTCAAAATATTTTCCGCTCGGCGCCAACCATGGTGGCGCCTCGAGGAATTCGCCCCCCCCCCCCCAATCTTGAATGTGTTCCTACGCCCCTGTAACTGCACCAAGACCTAAAACATGCAAGGATAGAGTAGAAAACTCGAAAATGGGGGGAGGGGTACAGTATGTGAATCACCCATAACCTTGGGGGTTTGGGGGCCTGTTCCCCCGGAAAAATTTTAAAATTTGAACCTCGGAAATGCTATTTCCTGCGTTTTCATCCATGGATTCGTCCAACAACTTTGCTGTACTAAGACTATGGAACACTTTCTGTTCCTTATTTTAAACAAGGGAAAATCATAAAATGAGCTTTGATTGATACGTAATAAAACAAGATCTCAATAATGTGATTTTACCTGCCCTCTGAAACAACAATGTCCCACCAAATATAGCTCTGTAGCTTTTCAGTCATTCATAGAGATAGTCTGTTGGGCATTGGGTTGCATCCTCTTCAGAATTTTTTTAAAATCTAAACCAGTTTAGAGAGTCTAGATTTTAAAAAAATTCTGAAGAGGATGCAACGTACCCGATCCCCAACAGACTATCTGTATTTTTGCATTAAAATAATCGTATATAGTATATACAGTACTTGTATCCTGTAGATGGGCCTTTGGAGCTTTAATAGTTTGGAGCTATGTTATCAAAAAACGCACACAGACTCAACCATCCAAAAATACTTTTTCTACCATACATAACCAAATTTTCTTGGAGGCCGGGGGGGGTAACAATTTTGCCAGGGAACGCCACTGGCTATCGTGATGTTGTCTACTGTTCACCCCATGTATTCTTTTAAGCAAATGTGTCTGCTTAAAATACAAAATCTTGAAAGCCTGTGGACACAATACTGAAGAGCGACATGTAAGAATTTTTTTGAGCGCTGTCTTTTGCATGATTTTTTTTTCTCGATTGTATGCTGCATGAGTTTTTTTTCTTTCTCCTTGAGTTGCAGGAATTTTTTCTCTAAATCCTCCAACTCCCCCCTCAAAAGTCAAATGGTTCGCCTCTAAGGCCTGGGAGGGAGGCTGGTAATTTAAAAAAAATCGTACAAAGAAAATGCTCCTGCCGAGAACTCAGAGACGAAAAATATCGTGCAAGCAAAAGGCAACTTTTTTATTTGATTGTTTTATTTATGAACAGTATTCTTTCAAACTAAATGAATTATTTATGCTGCTTCACTTTCCCGCAGCTCATCAGTGACAATATTATGCAACGTTCAACAATCTGGATGGTGAATCGCCAATTACTAAATATATTTAAAAGCATTTGCCGTTGGCGTATTGTTTGTGGGACGGCAATGGAGATTCTGCCACTTGAAACTGCCACAAGGGTAGTGCCTTAATGAACTCCCATATATCTAATCTTTGGTCATATGCAGGGGCGTAGGAAGCAGTGGACCACCCACCCCCACCCTAATATTTTATAAAGGATAATTGTATTTGAATAATAATAATAATATTTTTTTCAAAAATAATTATTTTTTTTCAAAAATTGCGCTGATTGGTCAATTAATAGTAATCCGTCCTGACTCTCGGATGAACATTGACTCATAAGAGGGTCTGAATGGGGTTAACTGACTACTGACATTTGCCTGAATTTTTGACTGACAATTGACAAAATATCCTAACTGACAACTGAAAAATGACGCAAAAATGATGAGTCAGCATTTTGCAGTAACTGACTACTGACAGCTTGCAATATATGGCACTGACAACTGACAACTGGCTTAAATTTTAGCTGACAACTGACAACCAAAGACCCCATTAAGATCCTCTCATAAATCATTATGAGAGAATTAATGAAAGAGTTAATGAAAGTGCCTAACGAACTACGAAGGAGCCTAGGAGATACGTAGAGAAGACTCTGAAATCCAATTATAATTACATAAACCCCTCTCCTAATTTATCAAGTTCCCTGCGCCCCTGCCCATGTTACTTTACACACAAATTGAACAAAGTTTGCAATTTCAAAGTTTCTTTTTTACAATTGGGTGTTATCTATTGAAAAATACTTGAGTACAGAACAATACAATATAATACAAGTATTAAAATCAAACACAAGTTGACTCTTGGTGTTGTAGATCACGCTGATCTGAAAAATATAGACAAAATTTCGAACTACTACTTAACTATTAATTATGGTTCGCTTTCTTCGCCATGCATGTGGAAAATGTGCTACTTCATTTTAAAAACGTAATTGCAACGTAGTCTTGAAAATAATTCTTGCAGAGGTTGAAACCGTTGAACTTTAAAAAAAATCCTGCAGAGACGAATATGCGGAAAAAAATTCATGCCTAAGAATTTTTACTCAGAATAATCTTATGGCAGTAGAACAGAAAAGGGCGGATAAAGGTAGTAGTGCCAGGTTTATTACAACTTGTGCGTTTTTACGTGTGTGGAGTCTGTACACGATGACCATTTTTAGTGTCAACACAGACGTCATATTGCCGAGGGGAAACTCGGGATTAAAAACTGCGTTAGTGTCAGTTTGTGATAATAGTGTCAGTTTGTGATAATCAACACACATGACAAAGCATAATGATTTATAAAGTTTTCAGTTGCTTCCTTACGGATCAAACCATCAAACGTAACTACAAGGATGAGATTTCTCAGTCTGTCGACCCTTGTTTCACTACTCTCTATAAAAACATTGTCGCGGACACAAAATTTCATTCTTCAGGATTTCTGATATGACATTACTTATATAGAGCAAAATGAGCTCCAGTTATGACGGTGCAAAACTGCATGTGATACACTATAATAAAGGGTCACATAAAGTATCTACCAGGTGGGGCCTAAGTACGCTGGCCACTAACAACGTCTGCGCAGGAGGCTAAAATGTATTAAAAATTATTATTTTATTTTTTCTCTATATATACAGTTACGACTATTAAGACTACGGTCATGATTATTAAGATTATAGTCCTGATTATTAAGACCATAGTTATGACTATTAAGACAATAGTTACGACTATTAAAACTATGCATATGGTCATGACTATAAAGACTATAGTCATGACTATTAAGACTATAGTTTGTTTTATAGGTTGATAGTTTAATAAAATCGCACTTTTTGCAGTAAAGTTACTGAATTACAAGTGTAAAATAGAGGTATAAAAATATACATGAATTAAGATTATAGGAAATCTAACAACAATAGGAATAACTAATTATTTACCATAAGACTACTAGCTATTAAGAAGGAGTTTTTAAATCGTTCGGTTTTGAACTTCGGAACATCAACTGTCCTTTCATTCCTTAGATTATAAAAAGGTATTTTCTTACTTATGGATATAAGATTAAAAAGTTTATGATTAGGGTTCGCCAAGATTTTATTAAAAAAGTTCTCACAAGATTTATATCTTCTCTCTCGGAGTGTTGATAGTCCGCTCATAACAAGGGAGTCTTCGTATTTAAATCCTGGATGCGCAATTGAGAGTGCACGCTTTTGAATTCGTTCGATATCGTCATTAAGATACGTTGGCAAGGAATAATTGAACACATTTGAAGCATATTCAAGGACTGGTCGAATACATGTCGTATAAAACTGTATAATATCTCTGGCTGGGACGTTTGCACTTTGCACGTTTTAGCTGAACCAAGAGGTATAAACGCTTAGAGCATTTCGATATGATATTATCGATATGGGTATTCCATTTAAGGTCAGATTGAATAGTAAGACCAAGTAATTTTACCTTCCGTACAACTTCTAATGGCTTGTCATTTACAAGTACTGGGGAAAATTCGCTTTTGATTCTCTTGAAGTCAATTCTGATCTCTTTATATTTTTCTTCACTTAAGGAGAAAAGATTAGTATCAGACCACGATTGAATACTAGTAACGAATTCTTGGATTCTGCTTGAATTATTTTTCGGTACTATTTCTGAGATGGTTAAATCGTCCACAAACTTGGCTTGATCTACTTGTGGTGGTCTAAGGTCACTGAAACTTCTACGTATACCCGCCACCACTCTTAATTGGATAATAGATTTTCTCAAGGACAGAAAACAACGAGTTAAAATGGCAAATGATTGTTTCTCCAAATGGGGCAGTGTGCCGGCCGGAGTACCACAAGGCACCAAACTCGGCCCATGGTTATTTGCTATAATATGATCAAGTGCTTTTTTATAGTCAAATAAGATGACCCGAACTGTTGATCCGTTTCCGTCCGTTGCCTCTGTCCATCTATGTAGCATTTTGATCAGGGCATGACTGGTCGACGAGTCAGAAATGACACCAAATTGATTCTCGTGCGGAACTTCAAGAACTGCAGGCTTTAGGTGGATTCTAATTACAAACTCTTCGGCTACTTTTGAAAGGATTGGGGTTAATGATATTGGGCGGAGGTGTTTGTTAACAGATTCCACCGGTGTGGTCTTGGGAATTGGGACAACATTAGACATTTTCCATGATGAGGGTAGGCGCTGTTTTTCGTATGAACTGTTCAAAATTTTACAGACTGGGAGCGCAAGTACTTCTGCGTTTTCTTTAAGTACCCATGAAGTGATATCGTCGGGGCCAGTGGATTTAGAAGAATCAAGTGATTTTAAGCATCTGTAAATTTCATACTCTGAAACAGTCAGCATATTTGAGTCGCTGATATTCGAAACATCCGAGGCATTGACATAATTTGAAGAGTTCAATGCTTGGAAACGTTGTAATGGTTCAAGGAATGAATCATTAATTTGATTGGCAATCTCAAACTTATCCAATTGTTGAAATTCCTCGATCTGTAAGCATGATAAAATATCAGGCTTTAAAGTTGGGTCCATTCCACTAATATTCTTGACTGCTCGCCACCAATCTTTAGGCTTAGTGTATTTAAGGCTTTTGATTTTCTCGTGGAAGTACGTTTGTCTACATTTTTTCCGTTCCAAGTTTACCTTATTACGGTAATATTTAAAAACGGTTTGATTTCCATTGTTTAATGCCTTTTGCCGTTTTCTAATAAGGCCCTTGAGCTTAGTGGTCATCCAAGGTGCGTTATTTATATGGATCTTTTTTGCCGTAATAGGCATTATGGCCTTTAATCGTAGTTGTAAAATAATCGTGTTCACGACTATATCGTTAAAGATTGACACCTTTTCCTTGCAAGTGACAACATTATCTAGACGTGACCAATCCACAGCAGAAAGAGTTCTGCCTACCGCGTTTTTGTTACTTTGCCTTAGGTTTCGTGTTTTTATGACTTTAAACATGTTTTCTGTTGTGGATTTGGTATTAGGAAGCACGTTTATTGTACAATGGTCAGAAAGACCAAAAGGTGCGAGTTTTTGTGGGTTTCCGTAGAACTTGGAGAGATTTGTTAGGATGACATCTAATGTTCTTTCGCCTCTGGTTGCGAATTTTACCAGCTGTTTAAGATTAAATTGGCGACTAATGCGAGAGGTGTCTAATTTGTTCAAGTCTCCCATTAGGATTATTCCACTGTTTGAGTTCGTTGCTTCAATGCTAGTCAAGCGGCAGTTAGTTAGATATTCGATCATTGATTGATCATCAGACGCTGGCGGGTGATAAATTGTTCCTATGATGATGCTTGATACCCCACGAGGTAGACGGTAATCACGACGATTGAGACTATGGTCATGACTATAGTCTTAATAGTCATGACTATTGTCTTAATAGTCGTAAATATATGAATCTTAATAGTCATGACTGTAGTTTTAATAATCTTAATAACAGCAAATTTATCTCGGATTATAACTATGTGTCAATGTACATTAATTGTACAATATATAATACAATATATATTAATATTTCTCAACTTTAAGTTTACATCTGGTGTTATCACTTAACTTGTCGGACGTCCAAACATTCCGATAGTATCTTCGGGTTGGAGTAGAATGGGATAGAGTATTGGAGTGAACAGCAAATGTCCAGCATTTCGATGAACTGCAATTGGAATATGAAATGTCCTGCAAGTTCTTAAATTATATATAATCATTAGTCTACTCCCTGTTTATCCTTACTATATATAATTAACGTGAACTATTACCTGATGACGTCATTGGAGTAACGCTATCCTATTGCGAAACCCCGGTTTCGGCGTACGGGTACGAGTAGTGTCATCTTGTTTACTAGTTTTTACTGATGTCTGTAATTCAATCATACTTTTTCTGTTTTCTTGAATAGACAATGATATAATGTGACCTCAATTACGCGTAAAGGTACAAACATCGACGAAAATATTGCTAACCAAAATCATGCTACCCGTACCCGTACACCGAAACCGGGGTATCTTAAACTCCCTATAATTTTTGTAACGGAACTTGGTAGCGCTACTATTGTGTGGTATGGTAACGGCCCTGGTTCTGTGACCGGTAACGCAATCCGATAACACAACCTAATGTGACTTATGGTAATGCGACGTTATTGTGACGTCATTGGCGACATCCTGTCGGAAAAATAAAGTCACATGAAAAATCTGGATAGCGACGATCCTTTCGCCTTTCGGCGAGAAAAGTTTGGATTTTTTTATCGTAATATGCAAACTTACAATTTGTGAAAAAATTAAAAGTTGTAAGGAATTGAATCTGATTTCAGATCTGATACAGCATGCAGGGCCTTTTTTAAGAATTCGTCAGTCGGGGGCAGGGCATCTACAGAAAGGGATCATACTATATACTGGGTGTGGAGAGATGTTGGTGACAAAAAGTTTGGTGTAGTGTCATATGTAATAGTATAGGGGTCTGGAGATCAATTATTTGCGTGTGACAACTGCAAGATTTTAAAATTACCATACTGAATTTCCATAAAAAGAGGGTTGACTATTCGAGTACAACTCTTTCGATATTAAGAAAGCTTGCTTTGCTATTGTTGCATCGGGCAGGGAGTTTAGGTGTGTTATATAGTTAAATAGTTGTTTGTGGATATGGATTAGAATTTAGAAGTGGGAATTTTCCTAATTTTCCTAATTTTTTTTACAAAAACGTAAATGGGTCTTTTCGGTTGGTAGTTTGTCCCATTTATTAAAGTCGTTTTTGAGATAAGCGCCCCATACGTCCGAGTTGTAGAGCAGTATGGGTGATATTATTCAGGATTTAAATAGTGTAGATTAAGGTGTTTTCGTATGCTGCCTGGCCCTGAGGCATTCAACGCTTTTTCGCTCAGTTGTTTATGATCATGAGCTATAATGTGAAATTTCCATTGGAGTTCAATTCTAGTATTCCTAAATAACCGTATTCATTTACTATTTCAACGTTTTTGTTTCCTAATAAAAAAATTAGTTTTCCCATTTTAGTATTTCCTTTGTGAAAAATCATAATTTTTCAGTTTCTTGAGATTGACCTCCATCATATAAATTCACGTTTATATATAAACGTTGCCAGAAACCTATAACAATCAGTTTTCAAAAACTGACCCAATGTTTCAATTAAATAACAAAGCCAATAAAACAAATCATAACCGATGGGCTCAAAATCATAACCGATGAGTTCAAAGCACGATGAGCTCAAAACTCGGCAAAATTCACTCCCCCCATGCAAAGAAGTCTAGCACCGCCCCTGTTTATAAATTGGCAACATTGGCCATTGCACGGTCAGCACTTGTTTCCAACTACCAAACTGACATGACGTCATTTTCGGAAGATGGAAGGGGTGTTAAATGGCTATGTAACTAGCCCAAACCCCACCCCTACTCTAACCTCTAACCCTAACCGCAACCCTAACTCTAACCCTAACCAAATTAATGAAAAAATCCAAAAAGAAACAACTTTAGAAATTGATCAAATGACGTAATGTCAGTTTGGTAGATGGAAACAAGTGAAAACCCCATTGCACGCCTGGCGTCATTTGGACGTATTTCCGGGCTAGTTAACGTCATAACCGTTATAGTCACCACTTGACAACACTCAACTCCAGAAACAGACGGAAATGTCAAGGAAATGACCACGAGAAACGACGTCATTCTTGTCATTCTGCCGAGTGCAGGTCCTAATTTCAAAACACAAGAAGCATCTTATCATTTAATAATAAAAATTATAATATAGCATTTGTAAATTCTGAACGCTGATTGGCTAAGAGCCGTGTTGATATAACTCCATGTCAACACGGGAAATTTTCCGCCGCTTGTAAACACGGAAATTTTTCTTATTCTTCGGGCTTTTGACATTGCTATATTATAAAACAAATATAAAACATTTTTTCCGTATTGATATATAGTTATATCAACACTCGTGGAAGTTGGGAAATCTCGAAATTGTGTGAAAACACTCCGCCCTTCGGGCGTCGTGTTTCCACACAATTTCTCGTTTTCCCAATTTCCACTCGTGTTGATATAACTGTATATCAACACGGAAAATGTTTTATATTTGTTAAATATAATATACAAAATCATCGATTGAGTAACAAACATGACAGCAAAACATATGGTAATCGAGGCAGTTTGCAGGTCATGAAATGACCTTAATATCTTGATAATGATCAAATATTACGTTTGATAATGATTTTGAAATAAAATTGAAAATAAATTGAAAATAAAATATTATCCATATAGCCATAGCCTAAATACTATTACTAATAACCATTTGCAACACCCTTCTGTTCCGAATATATACGCGTTTTGACTTTTGTTTTAAATTTTGAAAGGAAATGCACCCAAACTCGGGAAATGAGCCAGAACTTAATTTGGATGGGGAATTCTTCGCACTTTTTGCATTGATTGTTTGTAGAATATACAACTTTTTGTTAACCTCTCGACGGAATAGGGAACTTTTTTACTAACAGTAAATGTGACTTGGAATGCGGAATTTTTCAACGTCAATTTTTGCCTGTAGTCTGCCAAATCACCAGGTTCGATCCCTGCAGGGGGCCTATATCTCGGCCTATATAATTGCAACTGCTCCTGGTTTGGTCTATATAATAAATGTTTAAAATTAACTCTCGAAATTTCATCTATAAAACCTTCTATAGCAGTATGGGTCCAGTTGTACGGATAGCGCTATCAACCATTGTGAAAAATGATTGAAAAGCTAAAAACTACAGTGATATGGACCACGCAATTAATTAAAATTAAATTTCATTTATTATTATTATTACTAATGTATATAACGGTTATACTTACTATACGTTGCTCCCCCCCCCCCCCCCCCCCCCCC